GTTAATACCTTCATCAGCGTTTCATAAAATCTCAAGATGCAGGAATGACCTTCTAAATGAACCTAGCGTACGATTATCAAGGATTTTTCTGTGTTTCTTGGCGTGGATGAATAGTGTTCCATTTCTAGTATCTTCGCATAATTATAATACAGTAGCTTCGAGAAATTAATGACAGAACCTGGAAATTAACTTGGCCATCTCCGTCAGTATCAACGGCATTGAACACCACTCCTGCCATGGACTCAAAACCCGGCATTGACTTTTTCCACATCTCCTCGAACTGTGCCCTGCTCAACTTCCCACCAGAGTTGGGTTCATTGCTACCCGATTGATAGTTCGTCAAAAGATCATCAAGCTTCTTTACATTCACGCCAGTATCCTTTTGAATACTGGCTAACATGGGTTTCGAAATATTCTTGTCCCAATCTTTGGCTGCGAACCGCGTTCCTTTCTTCTTCGACATTTCGATTCGAGACTTTCCTAATGAGTAAAATTAAACGAGGAAGGAGTAAGAGCCTAGCGAAGGTTGTTTAAATGCCGGAATCGCGGGCTTCCTGGGACTCACTTGTGACAAAGGGGAGGTAATTGATGGGAGGATGAATGGGAGGATTGCTCGGAGACGTAAACCCATCAAAGACGGGTTCTAATCAAGTTAATGCGGTGGACTCATCCTTCAATACACATTCCTCGACGTCTTCTGCAGCAGCTCTGAATCAATGGAATGAAATATCAATTATATATTTTTTACATCGGTCTAGTTCGAAATATACCCTATGAAAAGCTTGAATCGTTTCAATCGAGAAAAATGTCTCTCAAATTATATAAAGTATTATTTCTCGGCTGTGCATTTCAAGCGGAAGGTTTGATGGTACAAAGTGTTCTGGACCTTTTGGCACATGTTCGTGAGCGGACAGAAAGATTTTAAAAAATCTCCCTGACGGAAACACTCAGTCTTTGAATCAAACCCTAAACTCCGGGTGCTTTTAAAAGGAAATAAGTGAATTAGTAAAAACACGCAGTGCAAAATCCCCCAATGCTAGAGAACAGAAATTTTATACGTAACAGTAAAAAATGAATTCAATAAAAAATTAATATTATTCATTGTATGCAGTGAACAAAGATTGCGTATGCGAAAAATACTTGCGTGAATCCACTTTTGCAATGATGGTATGTATGAGGAAACGCTAGATACTTTTCAAAAGAATACGAATTGTGTCTCGTTGAACTATTTGGCGTGATGGGTTTTTTTTTCGGGTGCAATTTTTGCTGGGTGCTTTTTCTCCTGTTTCATTTCCGAACAAGAAATAGACGCTGAAAAGTATTATTCCGAATAATGAGGGAAAACTTTGGATCTAAGACGACTTTTCTCCTCCGAAATTTTTTTTTTTTCGATGTTCATTGATTTTCTTTCTGCCCAAAGCTGCTCGAGAGCAAGGTTTTCTTTTCGGGGCGTTTTTACGAATGATTTTGCTATTGAAGTTCTGTTTTTATCAAGTTTGATTCAAGAATTGTATTATTCAATTTATTTCACTAGGTTTGGAATCGAACAACCAGCAGTCAGCAGGAAGCAGTACAAACAGCAGTTCCCGGTCCCCGAAACGTCTCGGATCAGCACCAGGGTTCCGATCGCGATCCAGGATCCAGGAAAGGCC